GTACTACCGTCCGACTAATTAGTAGTAGTCGTACGAACGAAACTAATTAACTTACTTCTACTTACTACGAGTACGTCTTACGTAGGTAAGTAATTACTTCGTACTACGACTACTCTCTCTCTCCCTCCCCCCCCCCCCCCCCCGGGTAAAAATAAAATAAAAAAGAAATGTACTTGGGCTTTTCTCATTTTAGTTTTCTGTTGTTGTTCAATTCAGAACCAAACAATGATTCTCCCCTTAACAACCAAGCTGCAGCCTTGTGGATCAATCAGGAAGGTGAGTGTGCTAGAGTTAAGCCAAAATCAAGGGTACTGATCTCTTGTTCTTTTTCTTATAAGGGAATATTTTTGTTGAATGTGCAGAATACAGGAAGGTTGTGGAGAAGCAATACAAAGTTGTAGGAGGAGGGAACTAGTGGGCGTGTTTCTGGTTGGTCCAAGAAGGAGACGGGTTTGGGTGTGTTTCTGTTGGTTCAAGAAGGAGAAGGGTTCGGATAATAGATGCTCTTGTTGCATTTTTTTTTTGTGAATTCTAAATTTTGAAACTGGTGATGATGCAACATATGACTCCCTAATTGTTAACAGTTCTCCATTATCAGATCATGTTCTTCTCCTTTGTGTTTCTGTTGACCAGAGAAGAAGGGTTGGGATGACAGATGCTCTTGATGTAATTTTTTTTTTCTCCCTATTTTTCAATGTCAAATTGTGATAATGGTGATGATGTAATGTAGCATATGAGTCCTGAATTCTTCAAAGTTTTCCTATCGACACCACTGAAAATACATTGGGTTTTAATTCCCTGTGTTCCTCTGTGTTCCATTTGGTATTGTTTGGAGTGTCCATTTGCGTTGATTCTTATTTAAGGCTCAATTTTGCTAAGAGATTAAAGACAGTTATTTGAAACATCAGTTGAACTTACTTTTTGATAGCAAGCAAAAGTATGAATTGGTTTTCTCTTACTGTGAAAAGCATTCTTAAGTGAAAAAGGAATCATCAGTTTGAACTTCGAAACATTTTTTCATAAATTTTGATATATAATGCTGAGAGGAGTCACTGATGAGAAATAAGAATCACTAATTTCTTCCCTAATGTTCTCCTAAGATGTCTGTGTGATCATTATGAAAATTTTGCCTACCAGCCATTGGGTTATGTGATCATCTTTGGCCATAAGACTTGCGATTCCTTTCCAAATTTGTATAGCTTTCAAAAATAATTGTAAATTTTGCAAAAAATAAGTACCCCCAGAGGGCATTATTTTTATTTCCTATAAAGATTGAGAAAGATTGGAAAGGGGCTGAGCGAGTGATGAAAAATTCATGGAAAGTTGGCTCTTATAAAACTCATAATTTGATCATAAGAGGAAAAAAGATTTTGTTAGCTATATGGTATCTATTTCTATCAATAGTTTGAAAGCTGAACCCCCCCCCCCCCCCTTCCATTTCTGTTTGGTGTTTGAACTATTTGTAGTGTGTATACGTCGCCGTATAGGAGCCTCTTAAGAGCTCTTAAGAATCCATGTTAGGGCTGGTATAATATTTGTGGTTTTGAGCTAATTCCACAGTCCCCCGTAATTAATTTTAGTGACTTGCATAAGCATAATTACAGGTCCCTTGGCCCCTCCTCCAAAGGCGCAGTTTGAAAGCAACCCCCCCCCCCCCCACCCCCCCCAATTTCTGCTTGGTGTTTGAAATCCCATTTTCTTGCTTCTGTTCGTCAAAGGGTAAAGAGATAATTGATAAGGTTCTTATCAAAAAGAGAGAATTGATAAAGTGGTATGTACCTGGAAGAAACATATCTTCAGTTTTTTTCTTGTTAGGCAAGAGAAAATTGATAAGGGGAGAGTTTGTACCCAGAAGAAACATAAATTCGGTCGACTCTTTGCAAAACTTACATAGAATCCAAAATTCAAAAATCATATGCCAGAGTGATATGCTTGGATTTAAAAAGGAGGAAGCCACATGAATTTTCTTGTGCCTAAACTTTGATTTTGAGACAGTTTTGGACATTAAGGTGCATCCTTCCTTTGACATTTCATGTCAAAATTTGTAAAGCAATAAATCATTAGGAATTAAGTGTGTTGTTATAGCATTTCAGTCCTTTACAGTATCAGTATATGCCTGCTAACCATATGGGATGGAGTTCAAACACTCTGCTCAGATAGAGATTTTAGTAATACACAAGCTTAACTTGTCCATCTGGCTTGTACACTTCCATGTGGTCATTATTTGACCTTAATCTGATTTGAAACTTTCACATCACCTCAAGGTGTACACCATACAGTCGCTTTCACCATGTGCCCAAGACCTCTTTGCATGGTGACCTTTTTTATATCAAACTAAGTTGTTTGAAAGGGCAGCAAAAATAATATTTCAAAAATAATATCTCATCAGTGGGCACTACCAATACCAGTATAGTACATTCAGAGCAGTAGAGTGATTGAGTTTAGCAGAATGGCACTGAAGATGAGCTGAGTTAAGTCATGAACTCGAGTAGGGAATCAGTTTGATTTTGGAAGGAAATATGGGATCTTGTCCATCACCAATCGTGGTCAGTTTTTCGCAATTATAAAGCATAATTAGAGGTAATCTTCAATATGTTGAGGATGACATGAAATTTGTTGGAGAGGGATGATCACTGAAAGCAATTGGGCATTTTATAAAGATCTTCTTGCTGTCCTCCCAGGGTTAAATTTCTGAGATCCCATTCTGAATCTCCTAACACAGCCTTTGTTTGGGCATCTTTTAAGGAGTTCAACCACTTTGTCTTCCTTCTTTTTTTTGTTTCTCTATTTATATCGGTGTGATCATCAATTAATGGGAATCGCAATTTGCCGCCACGTTTAAACAGGTAGAAAATTTAGCCCACACCTCGTTTCTCTGTACTCCTTCGTATGCTATGGATGGGCACAGCAAACACAGTGCGTTAGCAATCACCTGATTAATTTATTTTGCTAGTTTTACCATCCAAGCTTGCAAGCCAATCCTAAATAATTTGTTTTCCGAAAATCCCTTTAAGCGACTTCAGAATGTTCCCTTCTAGCACCGTAATCCGAGATAAGCGGAGCTCCCTCAAAACAAGTCTTGAATCTGAGGCCAAAATTGATTCGTGAACTGACAAGAGAAACTCAAGCTCCCAGGAAAAACCCAAGCATCCGAAATTAAAAATCACCAACATTTTTTTGTATACAGAAAAAGGATTAGTCCAATGTCCAAAATTTTCTATCTACATGAATATTGATCTACAACACATTAAAATTACAAGAAATTCAATTAGGAAGGTAAAGAAAAAAGATAAAGAAAATAAGGTAACCTCTTTTTTTTTCTTGGTCAGTAAGATTATGAAATATTTCGATTTATTGTTTCGTACATCATGGATTTACTTGAACCAATACATGATAATCTTTTAGTATCTTTGGGCACATGTATTATATTAGGAATTTTAGGTATAGTATTACTTACTGATCCTATTTATTCTGCCTTTTCATCGGGATTGGTTCTTGTTCGTATGTCCTTATTCCATATTCTATCAAACTCCTATTTTGTAGCTGTTCTACAACTCCTTATTTGCGTAGGAGCCATATATGTCTTAATCATATTTGCTATGATGTTCATGAATGGTTCAGAATATTACAATAATTTCCATCTTTGGACCGTTGGAGATGGGATCTCTTCAATAGTTTGTACAAGTATTCATTTTTCATTATTTGCTACTATTCTAGATACGTCATGGTACGAGATTATTTGAACTACAAGATCAAATCATATCAAAGCAGGACCTTACAAGTAGCATACAACAAATTGGGATTCATTTATCAACTGAGTTTTTTCTTCCATTTGAACTCATTTCTGTAATTCTTTTAGTTGCCTTGGCAGGGGAAATTGCTATGACTTGTGCGGAATAAAAATAAAAATAAAAATAAAAATAATACTAATTGAATTGGAAGTGTCAATTCAATCAAATATCAAATGAAATATGAATACTAGAATCAATTAAATAAAGTTGTGTTCTGTGTTTTTGTTATCACATCAATCCCTACTCAATCCCATTTGAATATTGTTCATGTTACATATTACATATAAAGATATGACATAGAGAAAAGTTTTTAGCCTAGTTTGATCCATTTCATTACCAATACCTTCCTTGGTCTTGGTATCGTACTTCTTATTATATTCGACATCTTTTGTCTATATTTATAGCCAATCAATTTCTTCATATTGAAATAAATCGAGATTGATGAGGAGTTGGTCAATGATGTTCGAGTATGCACTTGTTTTAAGCAGTTATTTATTTTCTATGGGTATCTATGGATTAATCACAAGTCGAAACATGGTTAGAGCACTTATGTGTTTTGAGCTTAGACTGAATGTTGTTAATATGAATCTCGTAACATTTTTCTGATTTATTTGATAGTCGACAATTAATGGGAGTCATTTTCTCGATCTTCTTTATAGCTATTGCAGTCGCTGAAACAACTATTGTTTCATCAATCTATCGCAATAGAAAATCAATTCGTATCAATCAACCAAATTTGTTGAAGAAATAGTTGTAATCATATAATATACAATATACAAAAATCTCATAGAATATTTGATTCTTCTAAATTAGAAAGTTGAATCTATTCTATTAAAGTTAAAGTAGAAATAAAGTAGAAAGAGAAAGGCATAAACATAACATACATATGCCATGATAGAAACTTATTTATGGAATGGATTAATGCATCATACCATTACAATGGATTAGGAATTCTATTCTTTTTTTCTTTCTTTTTTTCGCTAGAAGTAAGCAATTTTCATTAAAGAAAAATACAAAAGAAACAGATGGTGCTCTACATTGCAATTGGGTAGTGGAAAACAAAATTCTCGATATTATCGCCTAACTCATTCTCATTAGGAGCATGATCTGGCTGAGGTATTGAGCTTTCAATATCCTCATCCAGGGTATTGTCTTGTAAGGGAGCATATGCAGAACAGATAATACCCTTCAACTGTAGACCACGATCCACACTAGCTTTCTAAAATTGACCCAGCAGTTCTTATGACCCGCAATCCACTGCAAGAGCTCATAATTGGATCGCCAAAGTCAATTAATGGGCAATAGGACATAATATCAATATATGAATTTCAGGTTCTCCTCTAAAGACAAACCATGATCCGCTAAATATGCCACCATGACTTTATAGTGCTTAGGGATAAGCTCTTGTACATGTACATACTTCCTGATGCAGGAAGAATAGGTAAGAAATTGAATCCACCATTCTCCTGAATCTTAAACAAGTAAAATCAACAAGGAGAGAGGAAGAACATACCTGTAAATCAAGCCAAGAGAAGATGACTTTCTTCTTTCATAAAATAAAATTTATTTGAAAATAACATCTTCCCTCAAACTATGACATCAAACTTTTTATAAACCTATGAAACACTAATTTAACTTGAGATCCAAGTGAATATTAATATTCTAAAATACCACTAAAACAATTCAAAAATTTCAAAAATAACCTTGTTAAAAATAACACGGTATTCTGAGGAACAAGAATAACATACCTTGTTTCTTGATCTTAGAGTCAAACCCTAGAAGCATCAATGACTGATATGAAAGGCATTTGTTGCCCATCTAGTGCAAGAGAATCACCAATTTTCCCAATGATCCGTACCTTCCGACCATGAGGGATTGAAGCTCCAGTCTGAGTGGCCGTGGTCATGTCCATTTATAATAACTAAGGTTTTGAGTTTCAGAAAGGTTTGTGGATCAATTGCTTTCTATTTGCAAACTTAGATATATGAAATTGCAAAAAGATTTGT